AAACCCCTAAATCCTTAAACCCCTAAGCCCTAAACCCTAAGCCCCTAAACCCCTGAACCCTAAACCCTGCGGTTTAGGGTTCAAGGTGTAGGTTCCAGAGTTCTCCTTGGGGATCCTAAGGCGCTAAGGCTGCCTTTAGCCCCATCGCCTTTCTAGCTGAGTAGGTAACCTTTAACTGTTTGGGGCTTACAATATGAACCCACAACCCTAAACCCTAAACCCTAAACCTTAAACCCTAAACCCTAAACCCTAAACCCTAAACCCTTGGGAAAATCACCCCAAAATGACTCTCGACAAGCGCGTCGGCCTCGTGGACATGGTCAAGGTCGCCCACCCTCGGGCGATGCTCTGGCAGCAGGCCCTTACAGGCGGAGTCGACATCCTACGGGCCTGGCTTAGCCCAGAGACTCCAACACCCCTTAAATTAAGGAATATACCTTAAATTTATAGTAGGATCCCTAATAAGATTTAAGGTATATTCCTTAATTCGGTCAAGCTGGAAACTCCGGAGCCGGAGCCTCACATAGTAGATGTGCGGCAAGCCAACCAGAAGCATCCGAAGGCACCGCGGCATTATTTGTCGCAGGAAGTCTTTTTGCTCAAGGACGTCTTCAGCAATGCCCTGATGCGGCCACCAAGGCAGCTCAGGATGGTTGGCAAGGGCAATTGGAGGGTGGTGTATGGGTATAATGACAGGATGGTCCTCAAGCTCGCGGATGAAGCGCATGGCAATGAAGCTTTGATGTCCAGACTGTTTCCTTCCATAACCGCCGAAGTGGTCTGGGAAGGCAAGGTGCACGTTTCCATGCAAGCTGGCTCAGCAACGGAGGCGGTGACCTTCTTCGGCTTGACTTTGGGGCTTCGGGCCTTCCCTTTCGCACTTCACAGAGTCGACAGAGAAGTCCTGGTCGCAAACGAGGACGCCTACCAGTTCCTGGTCGCACGAAACTGAAGTCTGGAATCTCTCTTGCGGACAGTTTGTCTATGACACCTGTCCAGGTGGGAGAACTGTTGGTCCAGACAGGCTACTGTGAGAAGAATGCTGCAGGATCTTAAGTCAAAAGGTTAACCTTTTCTGGGCTGGTACTAAGCCTCTAAGTTAAGGCTTGTATAGAAATAGCTTATATACGTGGGCAGTTGTCTACATTAAGGTTCCTTTCAGTTTTCCTTTTTTCAGGGTGCCGTACTATTTTGGAGACCTAAAAGGGGATCCCCACGTGTTTCTTAAAGGGTGTTAGAGGGCTCAAGTTTGGGGTTTAGTCATTGCCGGTTTGGGGTTTATGGTTTAGGGTTTGGGGTCTCAGGTGGGCCTGATTTGGCGTTTTTTGTTTTTGGTCAGATTGCCTTCGAGGTTCATGGGTAGCTCTAAGTCGGGTTAGAAGTCCCCTAATATGGGCTACAACGAGAGTTATCCTACTTGTACGCACCCATGAGCCTCCAAGTAAACCCTAAACCCTAAACCCTAAACCCTAAACCCTAAACCCCCCCCCCCTCCACCAGCAGGTGGGGCTCTTCAAGGTCGATGTGAGATTGTACTCGTGTCGTGTTAAGGAGGGGTAGAAGCCTGAAGGTTGAGGATTCAGGGTCTTAAGCCTTACTTAAAGGCTCATGGGACATAGTAAGAGGATAACCCTACTTAGGGCACTTAAACAAACCCAAATAACTAAGTCCCTTGAGCCCCTAAACCCTAAACCCTAAACCCTAAACCCTAAACCCTAAACCCTAAACCCTAAACCCTAAACCCTATCCCTTAAGACCGCAACGCTAATCTCAATCCCAGACCTCAGCGAGTTCCAGGGTCCGAAACCGGGGCTTCGGGGTTCCTATAGCCAGAGCTCCCAAGACGCATGAGACAAGGCACGTAATGTAGGGGCCGTAATAATTAGAATAGGGTTCGGGGGTATATTATAATATAATATACCCCCGAACCCTATTCTAATGATTAAGGCCCCTAGATTACCTTGAATTATGGTAGGATCCCTAGTGCGGTTAAGGGTGTCTTCCTGCATGAGATGAGGGCCGAGGGGCTCTTTAAGGGGTGTTGTAGGGAAGGTAGGCTCTCTTGGGTTTAGGGTTTAGGGTTTAGGGTTTAGGGTTTAGGGTTTAGGGTTTAGGGTTTAGGGCTTAGGGCTTTAGGGGTTTAGGGTTTAGGAATTCAGGCAGCCAGACGTCGAGTGCAATGGAGGGGTCGAAATTGGTAATCTCTTCTTACATTCCCCCCTACACCTATGGCCTAACCTACCCAAAACCCGGTTCTAATTCTTGATCATATCTTCTTACACTCCCTCTTAAAATTATAGCCTAACCTATTCAAAACCCGGTTCTAAGTCTTAATGCCCCCTCATATAACCCTAAACCCTAAACCCCTAAACCCTAAACCCCAAACCCTAAACCCTAAACCCTAAGTCTTAATGCCCCGTCGTATTTGCACCAAGGACGACTACGCAGAGACGGCCCTCGAAACGCAGGAGCTTGGAGAAGGCGCGGACCCTGAACCCGAAACGTTTAGGGTTTAGGGTTTATAGGGTTTAGGGTTTAGGGGTTCAGGGTTTAGGGTTTAGGGTTTATAGGGTTTAGGGTTTAGGGTTTAGGGGTTTAGGGTTTAGGTTTGAGGGCGTAGGGTTTAGGTCAAAATCCTAAATTCTGAGCCCCAAACCCCAAATTAAACAAAACTAGAGGTGGGGAGTTTAGGGTATATAGGGTTGTTGTTTGCTGAAGATGTAGCTAGTTCACACCTACGACTGTCGTTGGCTCAAGTAAAAAGTTTCGTATGCATTCTGGCTGCTCTGCCTATAAACATAAAACCCTCAACGGCAAGC